TGTTATGGTCATGTGTTCTGTTGAGGTTGGTAAGGAGACATTTGAGGGTAGGGTTTATATCCGAGTTAAGTGTTCTATGTATGTAGCAGGTACAATAATAAGTATGGATGTTTTGTATGGTGAGTAGGTTTAGCATTTTGAATATTGGTGGAGTGTGCTGCCTGTAGTGGGAATTTGTTATCATTCTGACTGCAGCCTTTTGTTGGGTAATTAATGGTCTGAGATGGTTTATTGTTGTTGAGCCCCATGCACAAATTCCATAGGTGAGATAGGGGTAAATAAGTGAGTGATATAGGGCCAGGAGGGCTGACTGTGGAACATAGTACCGTATCTTCGATAGTATGCCTACGGTCTTGGAAATTTTCTTTGAAATGTGTTGTATATGTGTTTAAAATTTGAGTCTATTATCAAGGTGGATTCCTAAGAATTTTCCCTCTGTGAACTTTGTGATAGGTGATCCGTTTATCATTATGTTAAGAGGGACATCTGTAGCTGTTACCAAACGGAATGAAGTAGATTTTGTCAATGTTGAGAGTAAGTTTGTTAGTCCTCATCCAAGTAGATATTTTCTGTAATTCGGTATTCACAGTATTGGCTAGCATGACTGGGCTCGGGTGAGAGAAGACGTATGTAGTGTCATCTGCAAATAGTGTGGGTTTGAGTAGTTGCGATGCATTTGGTAGGTCATTTATGTAAATGAGAAAGAGAAGAGGGCCAAGGACACTTCCCTGTGGGACACCAACTGTAATTGGCTGTGCAGAAGAGTCTGCTCCATTTGTGTACACACATTGGCTTCTGTTGCTGAGGTATGACTTTAGGTAGTTGAGGGAGTGCCCTCTTATACCATAGTGTGACAATTTTATGTGGAGCAAGTCATGGTCAACTGTATCAAAAGCTTTACGTAAATCAATGAAGATTCCCAGTGGGACTTCTTTTTTCTCTAGTGCAGTGTATATTTGTTCTAGCATGTGTATAATAGCATCATTCATTTTTTCATTAGGCCTGAACCCAAACTGACAGGGGTTGAGTATGTTGTGGGAGAAGAGGTAGGAATAGATTCGCTTATGAATTAAGTTTTTGAAGATTTTAGAGAGAGGGTGTAAGTTGGATATTGGCCTATAGTTATTCAAGTCTGTTTGGTCTCCTCCTTTATGGATCGGGGTGACCCTCACTATCTTGAGAACTATAGGGAAGGTAGAGGATTCGATGGATTTGTTAAAGAGTGTTGCAATGATTGGTGACAGCACTTGCGATGCTTTTTTGTATATAAAGGGTGGTGAGGTATTTAAATATTTTGTCTTGTTTTTTAGTGTGCTGATAATAAGGGAGACTTCTGTTGGGTTAGTCGGAGCTAGGAACAGTGTGTTTGGGTAGTTGCCAGTGAGGTAGTCATTGGGTGGGGTATTTGAGCTTGGGATTTTATTGGCAAGGTTTTTTCCCTATGGTGGGGAAGAATTCATTGAGTCTGTTTGCTGTTTCAGTTGGTGGGAGTTGGGGTTCATCTGGTTTTGTAAGTTCATTTGCGCTATTTCGTGATATCTTTTTTGTTCCTAGAATCTCTGATAGGGTTTTCCAGGTCTTTTTTATATCACCTTTTAAGTTGGATAATCTGTTCTCATAATACAATTTTTTAGCCCTTCTTATCAGGCTGGTTAGGACTGAGGAGTAACGTCTTGTTTGGTCTCTGGTTATGTGACCCATTCTGTACTTTTTTCATATTGGTGCTTTGTATTTATGGATTTGAGGATGCTGGGTGTTAGCCACGGAATGTTCAGTCTCTTAGTTGTCATCTGTTTAGTTTTTTTAGGTCAGTGCTTGTTATAGAGGTATTGGGTCTTTTTTAGAAAATTATTAATACCTTCGTCAATATCTGTATAGATTTCTAGCTTAGTGTGCCAGTCAATGTTTGTCACTGCTGTTGTGAAGTTATTAATGGCTGCGTCATTGTGAAGTCTGAAAGTGACTTTAGTAGTGTCTTGGGGTAATTTGCCCAGATTAGTTATGAGAAAGGTAGGATAGTGGTCTGTGGTATTATCTGTGATTATGCCTGAGTAAGTCTAGTGTGTAGACCTGGAGTTTACCTGGAGTTTACCTGGAGAGAGTTCCGGGGGTCAACGCCCCCGTGGCCCGGTCTGTGACCAGGCCTCCTGGTGGATCAGAGCCTGATGAACCAGGTTGTTACTGTTGGCTGCACGCAAACCAACGTATGAGCCACAGCCCGGCTGGTCAGGAACCGACTTTAGGTGCTTGTCCAGTGTCAGCTTGAAGACTGCCAGGGGTCTGTTGGTAATCCCCCTTATGTATGCTGGGAGGCAGTTGAACAGTCTCGGGCCCCTGACACTTATTGTATGGTCTCTTAACGTGCTAGTGACACCCCTGCTTTTCATTGGGGGGATGTTGCATCATCTGCCAAGTCTTTTGCTTTCGTAGTGAGTGATTTTCGTGTACAAGTTCGGTACTAGTCCCTCTAGGATTTTCCAGGTGTATATAATCATGTATCTCTCCCGCCTGCGTTCCAGGGAATACAGGTTTAGGAACTCAAGCGCTCCCAGTAATTGAGGTGTTTTATCTCCGTTATGTGCGCTGTGAAGGTTCTCTGTACATTTTCTAGGTCAGCAATTTCACCTGCCTTGAAAGGTGCTGTTAGTGTGCAGCAATATTCCAGCCTAGATAGAAACAAGTGACCTGAAGAGTGTCATCATGGGCTTGGCATCCCTAGTTTTGAAGGTTCTCATTATCCATTCCTGTCATTTTTCTAGCAGATGCGATTGATACAGTGTTATGGTCCTTGAAGGTGAGATCCTCCGACATGATCACTCCCCGGTCTTTGACGTTGGTGTTTCGCTCTATTTTGTGGCCAGAATTTGTTTTGTACTCTGATGACGATTTAATTTCCTCGTGTTTGCCATATCTGAGTAATTGAAATTTCTCATCTTTTTAAATTATATTTTTTTCTGCAGCCCAAAAAGATTTGGTTGTGTCACCGGAGCCTTGCAGTGTCTGCAATGGAAGGGCCCTGTCAGGGCAGTTTGGGTGTCATCTGCAAAGGAAGACATGGTGCGTGGCTGACTCATTTCCTACAACCAGCAAATTTGAGGGGGGACAGCCAAAGTGAAAGGGGGTTTTAACGAAAAAAAAAGTTTTAAAAACCAAAACTACTTTGGGTCCAGGGGCCCCCAAATTTCAAAGTGACACCAGTGCCCAAGAATTTTAAAAAAAATAATGTTATTTTTTCTTAGAATGGGGGAAAATTTTTTCCTAAAGGGTAATAAAAAAAAAAGTACAAAATTTGATGGAAAAAAATTGACGAAATTATGCTTCCGAATTTTGATGTGTCAGAAATTTTACGCATCGGCGTTTTTTGCTGCTTTGACTCCCATTTTAGGGCATTGCTTTATTCCAGTCGACTAATTTTTAGTATTTCATGTTTATTTATTCTATCGTGAGCACAAGAAATCCCCAATCAACTGTTTCAACTACAAATAAAGTGGTGGAAAATTGGGTTTATTTGGCCAATTTAGTGCAAAGTTAAAAAATATTCAAATTTAAAAATGGGCCCAAAATAAACATGAGGTTCCCTAGAAATAAACTAACATTTCCTCTGTTTCGTTACATTTTCAAGCTTTAAAATGAATTCCATTTCGATTTTTAATTCACTTTAATGAATTTTTAACCAAAACCAAAAAATAGAAGTTTTACCATAATGAAAATATTAAAATAATTTTTAAAAAATAATTCAGCCATTTGTAAAACATATATTAGCCCCACCAGCGGCATGTATTAGATTTGTGAGGTCTTTTGTTTCCCTTTTGAACTTTGGGTAAAAAATTTACATTTCCGCTGCTGTGAGCTCGTTTCAACCCATTTTCAGTACAAAAACCCAATAAAATCATCTCTACTTCTTTTATTTATTTCCTTCTATCAAATGAGACAAGAAATTACAAATGAAACCCATAAAAACATCAAAAAAACACTGAAAAGGGTTGCTGTTTTAATCGAAAATTACGGTCTCGTTTTTTCTCTTTTGCCTGTGTGCGCAGGATTTTTTTAAAATTGGTGCACCATACCACACAGTGTTTCTATCAATCTGGGCCCCAAAATTTACGTCACAGTTAGCATGAGAGTGAGCTATGGCGTGTCTAGGGCTTGGCCCCCTCGAGTAAAAGCCGTAGATTAGGGCACAAAACCCTAAAAAGGGTTAATAAGGTGCATGTCCAAGGGCCCAGTAAAAGGTAGCCTTCCTATTAACCTCTACAAGATGAAAACATCCCAATAAGTGAAAATAATTAAAAGGGTTTTGAGAGCCAGTTTTTGGATCCTGATCAGGAAATACAATGTGTATGCCCCTAAAATTTCAGGATTTTACACAAGGTGGTTCAGTGTGATGGGGGTAATTAATGAGGGTTTGCAAAAATCCAGGTTATATAGATACAACTTTAAGAAAGGCAAAAAGAAAGAACTTACTTGGATTGTAAAAATTCCCAAGATAGAGATGTAAAGAACAGAACAAAAAAGAAACATGATGTTGTTTAATACTTACTTTCATTTATCCCTTTCCTCCCTCTGGGAGTAACAAGTGAATTTAATAAAAATGGGGGGCACTGTATCAGAATGAGAAGGATAGAGAAGAATTCTGGTTCTCATTTTAAAAATTTAGCCATCTGATAGACAAAACTGTAAGAATGACCAGCACACAAAGAAGGGGCCCCTTACATAAAAAAAAATGAATACTCCAAGGGGAAAAAATTAAAAAGGTTTTACTTGGGCAAGTTAAAAAGTGTTGGGGAAGTTCTAAAAAACCCGGGGGTTGTAGAAAATAAAAAAATATGTTGTGTTCCTAGGATTAATCAAAAATTTTTAACAGTGCACTGCTGTTTTATGTGGAGGCATATATATTTTCTTTTTTGGTCATGCATTACTTAGTGAGCAACTTCATATACCCCTTATTTAGTCTAAAAATACAGTAGATGTAATTTAGCCCCTTTCCCCATAACTGTTACCTGTAAAGGAAAAAGTAGCAAAGTTGTATTTTTCTTCTTCCATTAATGTTAGAGTTTCTTCAAACTCTGCTTCTGTTTCTGAGCAAAACCCACAAATAAAATCTGAAGACAAGGATACATCTGGGATGATGGACCGAATATGAGTCACCTATGAGGAGACAAACCACACTTTAGCACACATGTTGAAAAATGAAATCTGAATCAGTGACTATAGGCTACTCTAAATAAATAGTTGAAGAAATAAGTCACTTTAATAAAAAAGTGAGTCATACACAAATTATGTGCACTGTTATGTTTCCAGATAATATTGTCAGGCTCAAAGAAACATAGCTGACACTCCATTGTACTGTATCAAGCTCAAGTAGGAATTAACCCTAAGGGTTAAAAATGACATATATTGTACATACTCAAATATTGATAGACTTTGTGTATAAGTTTATCCCTGAATCTTTGCCAAGAATTTCTCATTTTTTTATGTATCTCATTTGTAAGTTTTCCCAAGTTTTTGAGGGACAAAAGAAAAAAAAAAAAAAATACAGGTTGCAACCATCACTAATCCGGCATCATCGGGACCTGCAGAGTGCCAGATTAGTTAGGTTAAGTAAGGTTCATAAGGAAACAGGACAAGCATTTCCTGATGCAGGTCTTAGTAAGATGATGACCCACCATTGGAGCTTAGAGTCATCTAACTGAGGCCTTATGCTGGCTTACCAGTCCACCCATTTAAAAATTAGGGTCATACTTGTAACCTAGGAAAGAGTAAGGTGATGAGAATAATGAAAAAATTAGGTACGGAAGATTGGATGTCAGACTGGAGGGAGAGAGTATGGAGGAAGTGAATGTATCCAGATATTTGGGAGTGGACGTGTCAGCAGATGGGTCTATGAAAGATGAGGTAAATCATAGAATTGACGAGGGGTAAAAGGTGAGTACTGCACTGAGGAATTTGTGAAGACAAAGAGCTTTATCCATGAAAGCAAAGAGGGGAATGTATGAGAGTATAGTTATATCAATGCTCTTGTATGGGTGTGGGGCATGGGTTGTGAATGCCGCAACAAGGAGAAGGCTGGAGGCAGTGGAGATGTCGTGTGTGAGGGCAATGTGTGGTGTGAATATAATGCAGAGAATCCATAGTTTGGAGATTAGGTGTGGGATTACCAAAACTATTATTCAGAGAGCTGAGGAGGGGTTATTGAGATGGTTTGGACATGTAGAGAGGGTGGAACAAAATAGAATGACTTCGAGTGTGTATAGATCTGTAGTGGAGGGCGGGCGAGGTAGGGGTCGGCCTAGGAAAGGTTGGAGGAAGGGGGTAAAGGTTTTATGTGCGAGGGGCTTGGACTTCCATCAAGCGTGTGTCAGCGTGTTAGACAGAAGCGAATGGAGACAAATGGCTTTTAGGACCTGATGTGCTGTTGGAGTATGAGCAAGGTAACATTTATGAAGGGATTCAGGGAAACCGGCAGGCCGGACTTGATTCCTGGAGATGTGAAGTACAGTGTCTGCACTCTGAAGGAGGGGTGTTAACTCTTTCAGGGTCGAGACCCTCGAGCCTTAACTCCCATTCAGGGTTGAAAAATATTTGAAAAAAAAAAAAATTATGAAATATTTTTTTTTTTGGGGGGGGGAGTATTATAGGCCAAAAACAATTTTTTTTGTGATCAATATTTACGGAGATATGGAGGCGTGAAGTTGACAGAAATTGAACTGCTTATGGCAACATCGCCAACTAACGGTCACCCAGTAATAGTTTATTTTGTTTGTTTTTCTTCTTTCTTTTATTTTTTAATATTTTATTTTTTCAAGTAACTTTTATGGCCTCTGAGACCAATATATAGACTGTTAAATTTTCACTCATTGTATGCTACACAATAACAGCACAAACTTTGCTATCATTATATTGTTTACAAAACATATTTACACAAACAATAAAAAATGTTGTTTATTACTATTTTTCTATCATATACATGTATATATACACATATAGTCACTGGACAGGTTCCTGTAACTACAAGAGGTTCTGAAAGCTTGTAGTTGTGGGTGGGTGGATTTGTAAATATACTGAGTCACCGGCATGTCTTGTGTCACAAAGATGCACCTTACCACCACTCACTAACCCTCACTGCCTACCACAACACATCCCTTCCTCTTCACACACCTACCTACCTTCCCTCCTTCCTTCCTTCCTTCCTTCCTTCCTTCCTTCCTTCCTCTCATCTCTTCCTACCCACCTTCCCTTCTGCCTACCTACCTTTCCTCCTTCCTTCCTTCCTTCCTTCCTTACTTCTTTCCTCCTTTCTTTCTTCCTTCAAGTAACTTTTATGGCCTGTGAGACCAATATAAGGTATATTGAATGAATATTCACTCGTTGTATGCTACATAATAACTGCACAAACAGTTATTATATTGTTTACAAAACATGTTTACACAAACCAACAATAAAAAATGTTGTTTATTACTATTTTCCTATCATATATATATACACATATAAAGTAACTGGACACTTCCCAGAATTTCTAGAGCTTCTGTAAAGCTCGTAGTTGTTGCATGGGGCTGGACTTCTAAATATGCTGAGTCACTGGTGTAATTAGTGTCACAATGACAAATAACACCACCACTCACCACCCTCACTGCCTGTCAACCCCCATCCCTTCCCCAACCCCCACCAACCCACATGGAAATAAGTCCCTGTCTGAATTTTTTGGGTTATCCTAGGTTTATGGTCTCCATCCTTCCTTCCTTCCTTCCCTCCTTCCTTCCTTCCTTCCTTCCTCTCATCTCTTCCTTCCTTCCTCCCTTTCTTCCTTCCTTCCTTCTTCCTTCCTTCAGGTTTCCTGAGCATTGCTTTCAGTCACGAACTCCTCAAAACCACGAAATTCATCTTCACTGACACTTCCATCTGTGTTTGAACTGTCACTTGGGAACAAAAGAGCCCCAATTAGCCGAGGAGTGAAGAGTTTCTTAGTGCTAGACATGATGAACAAGGTGTAATGAAATGGCTTTCCCACAATACACCACTGGGTTCCCGATTTTTTTTGTACCGAGTACACTGACCACAGAGACCCATTCTCTCACATCTAAGCCTACCAGCCTTTCCCTGCTTGATTTGTGGACGCTAGAATTTATGCGTACTAGTACGTCAATAACCCTGAAAGGGTTAATGTTGCAGTTTTACAACCATAGTGTATGCATGTAGTGTACGCTCTGGCAAGACAGTGATGGAGTGAATGATGATGAAAGTTTTTTTTCGGGCCACCCTGCCTTGGTGGGAAATGGCCAATGTGTTAATAAAAAAAAAAAAAATAAAACGTAATTTTTTTTATAATTGCCGGATTAGTGATTCTGTCAGATTACAGAGTGATTAGGCTAGAATACACTTAACCCAACAGCTAACAACCTCATACTACCTTTAAAATACCCAGTAAATCAGTACAAGTTGGTTATCCCTTTCATTATCAACCCCTGCTCACAAACTTGCTCCCAGTGTCAGAGAATTTTAAGAAAAAATTATTTTATCTTATGAAATGAGAGAATTTTTTCCAACAGTAATGAAACCAAAAGCATGAAATTTGACAGACAACTTATAGAATTGTGTTCTCACAAAGTAGTGGTCTAGGCAATATTTACGCATCAGCAATATCGCCCACTTTACGCCCTATTTTGGGCCAATTCCATTATTCCAGTCAACCAAATTTATGGCTGTTTTCTAGTATTCCTTCTATTCTGTCAATTGAGTACAAAAAACCACCCATTTACCTATTTCAACTACCCAGTAAAGTGATCAGAAATCTGTAATTTGGCCAATTTCACAAATTTCAAGAGATGCCAATTTCAAAATATGTAGTGTCCAGAATAAACAATGCAGACATTCATAGTACAGTACTAAAATAATGTCACATCTCCATAACATTGTGTTTCCATTCTGAATTTTATTCACACAAAAAAATAGGAGATTTACTGTTAGGCAGACTACAGCATTATTGTAATACAGTGGACCCCGGCCTTACGATGGCATCGTGTTATGTTAAATCCGCCATACAATACATTTTAACACAAAAATTTTGCCTCGCCTCATGCGATTCATCCAGGAGGTGTCCCACGCGTGGCCTCAGCTGCCCCGTGTGTGCCAGTGTTAACAAGCAAGCCAGTGCGGTCGTATCCACACATACATTCAGTACATTTCATATTATCACAGTGTTTTTAGTGATTGTAGCTGCAAAATAAGTCACCATGGGCCCCAAGAAAGCTTCTAGTGCCAACCCTGCGAGAAAAAGGGTGAAAATTACTATGGAAATGAAGAAAGAGATAATTGCTAAGTACGAAAGTGGAGTGTGTGTCTCGGAGCTGGCCAGGTTGTATACCAAACCCCAATCAACCATCGCTACTATTGTGGCCAACAAAACAGCAATCAAGGAAGCTGTTCTTGCTAAAGGTGCAAGTTTATTTTTGAAACAGAGATTGCAAGTGATAGAAGATGTTGAGAGATTGTTATTGGTGTGGATAAATGAAAAACAGATAGCAGGAGATAGCATCTCTCAAGCGGTCATATGTGAAAAGGCTAGGAAGTTGCATGAGGATTTAATTAGAAAAATGATTGCAACTAGTGGTGATGTGAGTGAATTTAACCCTTTCAGGGTCCAAGGCCAAAATCTGAAGTGGTGCCCCAGTATCCAAGAAATTTTGAAAAAAAAAAAAAATATTTTTTCTTACAGAATTAAAGATAATATTTTTGTGAAGGTAATAAAACAAAAAAAAATTCTGATCAATACGTACCGAGATACAGTGGCGGGAAGTCGACCCAAGATGACCGGGTGGCGGCAACATCAGCGACTTCCGCAAAATCGCATTTTTTTATTTTACGTTTTTTATACTTTTTTCTTTTCTTTTCTATTTTTTTTTTCCTTTTTCTAGTAACATTTGTGGTCTGTGAGACCAGTATAATGTATATTGTACAAGTGTACAATCATTGTATTCAACACAATAATGGCACTAATTTGTTTATCATTATATTGCTTACAAAACTTGTTTACAAGTTTATTGTAAACAAAATGATGAAAATATTAGTACCATATGGTACAATGGTGCCATAGGGTGCAATGGTACCATTTGGTACAATGGTACCATATGATACAATGGTACCATATAGTG